GCAAAGTGATAAGAAACATTTCGCAGCCCCTTTGATGGCTGCACAGAAAGCAATGGTGTCTTCTGGCACTGTGTTGCAATCGTCGACGACACCGCTGACACTGCACGTGCTATTTCCAACAAAGACAAGGTAGTGAGATGGCAACACTATCGAACTCATCTCACTACCCATGTCTTTCAGGGAATCAACACTGCAACCCCCAAGGGCTTGGGGGATAAGTGCTACAATGCTGGACCTTGTTGCATACACCACCACATAAAGTTGGTGAAGCAAGCTAGAACAATCTCGCTTTTGGTTTCAAAATAGAACACTGAAAATATGCATCTTTCACAGTGTAGTCGAACCACCTTATAAAAGACACTGATATGAAAGACAACTGGGTGAAAGAAACAATTGGGTATAAGACACCAATGTGCCTACAGTAAAATACGGTTTGATAAGAAAATTCATATGAGGTATTCTGCTTATAAGAGGCATTTCATATAAAAGGCGAGAATTGCAGCATGGAGCATGCCTTTTATAAAAGGGTATAACATACAGTTGACCCCTTTATAAGAGGCAGGTAGCTACAGGAGAATTGCTTGTTGGGCAAGTTGTTACATACTTAGCTAACTACAAATGAAGCCACAAAACATCAAAATTTCAACAAAGTAGACTGGCAGAAACACGGCCACAGGAGCGGGCCATTAACTGATACCAATGGTAGCATGATTCCAATGTGTGCAACCATTAGAGTTCCTCTTGCATGCACGCAAGGTGGTAAGGCTATATATTTCGAGTTCACGTTGAGAAAAAATGAATTTGTTAACTCTTCACCACTGTATAAAAATCATAGACAGCAGAGTGCGTGCGTGTGCAAGTGTGTGCATGTGCGCATTCGTGTGTTTGTATCTTTTAAACCACCTACAGTGCAGAAGCATTTTCCTATCTTCATTGAGACATGGTGACAGTGGCTCTGAATTCAGGCTGTTAAGACTACACAGCAGCTACAGCAGATGCCTTTTTATGTGTGTATAAGCTTACATAGTAAACTCAACATATTTAAGCAGAACTGAGCTAGTATTAGGAGGCCAAACACGTTTCTGTGAATTACTCAGTAAGGGAATTATTAAATTCCTGTGGCTATTACTTGGAAATAAATGTAATCAGTTTTATGATGATCAACTGAGCAAAAACACCAAGGCTCGAAACATGAATGGACATGGTCTATGTTACGTGCAGTTGATCCATCACAACAGGTTATTAACTAACCAACACTACGTTCTTCGAAGTTATGCCAGGGGTGCAACAGCCAAAACAGAATTTGGAGCAACTTTCAGAGCAGCAAGATATTACTTTTGGAGCACGAAAATCTAAACTTGGAGCAGATTACAGGGAACAAAACGTTTTTATCGCAAGAGACCAAATTTGGAGCTATATGAAAAAGAAGTCCTACATTTAGAACAAAAATATGTACAAATCATTCAACATGCCCTAAATCCTGCAGTGTGAGTAAGAGCACTGCTATTTCAATAAAATTAGTATTATGAACCACCTCACTGAGCAAATAATGATAACGTCCACAATAGCATTTACCGCATCTCACTGAGAATTTGAATGTGGATCTGTCAAGCTGGCGAGCTTCAAATTCAGGGATTCAAAGGAGCGGCGAAAAAATAAAAGCTAAAAATGTCATACACTGCTCAAAAAAATTGCCACCCACTTTTTCAGATGTCATTGATCCTACAAGTACTCAATTATGCACTGTATACAAGCAGGAGTACGTGAACAAAATGTGCTGTACGTTCAACCAGTTCGAGCAACAACGGCACGTGCTTGTTAGCTTGGCAACGGCACCAGATATCTATCACCGGGACACAACTTCAAGACAGCAAAATGTTTTGCATGTCATTCCTATGGCAACAAACGTGATCGCCGACAACGCCGATTTTCGCAACACGTCCAGTCTGCTCGCGTGCGGGAAACCCGGCATGCGCTTCCAGCTTAAATTGCTAGTTTGCCGACTAGGAAGTTCGTCTAGCCCGCGAAGCGTTGCTGGCTACAGCAATGCTTTTTTTTGTTGTTTCCAAGTTGCGTCATACCACCGATGGACTGATCCAGCACTCTGTGGACTGATGGCGCACGACTGTTACTTTATCTGCTTGTTCGCGAGTGCCCTGACCTACTGAAAATACATCTTACACTGTGATTTAGGGTTAGGGTCTGAATGCTTGAAATGATTAACGTAAACTGCAACCAGATAGCCAACGTGGCCGCCGTTTCTCACTGAAATCAGTGCAACTGAGAAAACTTCCGAGGCTGGTCAGACATTTTGGCGCAGCGTGGCACAATTTCAGCAAATTTCATGGTTTTGCCACAGCTTGGCGCAAGGATGGAAAATTGTATCAAATTGGCACCAATGAAGCCGTTGTTGCACCCCTGTAGTGCTTCCCATACCAATATCCCTGGTATTTAGTCTAACCCCACTACAACTGAAGCTGACAGGGAGTGGTAGTGAAATTTCGTAGTCGTGAAATTGCAAAAACACAGCCACTCTGACCTCGCAAAACAAAGGAACTTTTCTTCCCAAATTTCAAATGGTGTCGAGTTCAAATGGTTCCCAGCAGCGTCACGCCACAATTCTCAACCATGCATAGTGATGCCCTGGTGAAAAGCACGCTGAAACAACAGCCACAACGACTTTCGTGACCAAACCTAACAGGGCGATATGTAGGGTTTAAAACCACTATATGATTACGAGAGTCGAAGGCTCTGGAAATTTTGACCACCTGGAGTTCTTTAACGTGCACCCAAATCTGACCACACGAGCCTACAGCATTTTCGCCTCTATCGAAAATGCAGCCACCGCACGGGGGATTCGATCCCGCGACCTTCAAGTCAGCAGTAGAGTCCCTTAGCCACTAGACCACCGCGGTGGGGCCAAACCCAGCAGTTGCACTAAAATGCGAACACCAGCAGCTGTCTGTCGTCAAAGTGTATCCGACAACGCCGAGATGGAGGCGTGGAATCATGGAGCAACTACTTATAGCTACTTATGCCTTATCATATGCTATTATCATCCACCACTCGCAGCTGGCTGACATTAATAACGCGGATGAGCAGTTGCTCTTATTAGTTAATATTAGTGACCACACTGGTCGAGCGCGAAAAGTACCAAAAGCACTGGCATCGGTAACGGCATTCCGCGATTGCACCCAGCAGCTGCGTGGAGGAAACCATAACTGAGCAACTGAGCTTCAGCTTTGGATTGTCTGCGGCTCAGAAGCAAGCCAGTGGCAAAAGCAGGGCAGTCTCATCGCCATCACTATCGAGGAATGGCGACCCCAATCTTGGTAAAGAGTGGCGGTTTCTGGTGGCACCAACACATGTTTTAAACTTCGCGAACGTTATATTTAAATGTTTAAACTTGTGTTTACTGTATGGCATTAAATATCTGAGCCTTTAATTGTATCGTCAAATTTCGTTGGGTGGAACAGCAGAAGAAAAAGTGTTCATTTTGGCAAGAAAATTTATGCGACTTATCGACTATTGATGGGGAAGCGAGAATTTTTCATTGTAGCGAGTATTTCGTTGAAGCAGCGTTCGTTGTGGCGGGGTTACACTGTATGATAGGAACATTTAAAGCAGCATGACCCAAGGAAAGCAAGGACGAATGACTGCAAGGCCATGGTATAGGAGGCACTCCACACAAGTTGTGCATTGCTCATACTTTTCAAGTTTGTAAGAAGTTACTAAAAAACTGAAGGTAACGTGTACAGTCGCCGACCGATTTTTCGGACCTGGCGGGGACCGAAAAAAAGTACGAAAAATCGAACAGTCCGAAAAATTCGTTTTCGCCAAAAATCTGAAGTTTATTGCATCAGGCAGGTTTAAAAAAGTCCTTGATGCTGCCTTGCCTCAAACTACGCTTGGAGGCAATTTGGTTTGCCCGTATTTGCGCCAAGGAGACATCGTCGCCGTAAACGCTCGACAAAATTGTCACCGCGTTGGCGATCTCCGCCGCCAACAACTGCGGGCGGTCCGACGACGACGACGACGACCGCCATTTGACGTCGACTGTAATCCGGCGACATCTAGCTGCGAACGTCCACTCTATTAGCTTGATTATGGCAGCTTTCTTCTCCATCGTCAGGGTCGTATACTTCCCACGCTTCTTCACACCACCTGGCTCCCGCGATGGCACAGATAGCGGAGTCATGGCACCGAGAACACAAAATTCGATGCCGCAGATAGCCGCTGCGAAGCACACAACGTCTCGACGCTACGCGACACAACACGTGCAGAATGGCGACTGAGAAAAGCTGCAACGACAATAACAGAATCCTTCTTTCGCCTCCTCCCCGTGCGATGTGATGACGATAGTGCTGACCGAAGACGAAAAAACGGCATCCATCACCGCGTCTTTTAAAAAGCAAACACGGCCTCCGAAACTTAAAATGTGGTGTGCGCATTCCAGTCTCGGAGGCAGGAAAAAGATCTGAAGACCAAGCTTAGCCAAGCCGACGGAAAATCCAACATGGCGGCGTTCACAATGGCTTGGGGCGTAGCACAAAACGAGCGATTTAGTCCGAAAAACCGAACTTTCAGGGGCAAATTCGCCCGAAAAATCGGTCGAAACAATGCATTAGCTCTATGGGATCCCTGACGGTGCATTTATGAAGTCCGGAATATCTAACAAGTCCGAATTTTTGGAGTCCGGAAAATCGGTCGGCGATTGTAGCTTCATAAAAACTTGAAAAATTTGTAAGCATTGCCCGACATTTAAAGTATATTATTATTTATTAGTACTAGTTGCAAAACTTGCGTTTTCCTTAATACACAAGTACATACTCATCCCTAGCTTCTTAGTTCAATGTGTGTGGTTGGAAAATGCTGTTGGAATAAGCTGCTGACACTGCATCATTAAACAGATTTTCATGTCCCTCTGGGGTCACGTTAACCAGAATCTCTATAAACGTCTTCAATCACATGCAATTTGAACAGAAGATAAAAACGCTTACCGTTACTGCTTCCATGCGATAGTCATCCATGTTTTCACTTTCAGTGAGATGCACGACCAGACCACATATCTGTTCTTCCAGCTGCTCTAAAGAGATCAGCAGTGTAGTCTAAAGTCAGTGAAATGCAGTTTTTTTTTAAAGGTGGGGGGGGGGGGGGGGCATGAAAATTTCCATAAGCTGCCACCTGTCCCATCAAATGTGTTTTGCCCACATCATGTTGCAACATTCATTTCTTGAAATGCAACAATTTTTGATGTTCAACGCCCCAAAACTACCATATACCCCCTCCCCCCCTTTATGAGGCCTCTCCTACCTTTCCAAGACAGGAGAGGGCTGTATATAGCCTGTATATAGCCTCAAACAGATCTTGCTAGGATGAAGTACTTTTTTTTTTTAACTATACTACACAGAACACAGGTGGTATGAAAGTACTGCATCCTTGCTGCTATCCATGCTAGGGACAAGACTGTAGTACAGGAAGTGCAGCTGTATACATGTCGTGCTACACATTTGCTCAAGATTGCAAAAAAAAAAAAAGCTCACGTGCAAGCAAGTAAATTATTGCAGTTGCATTGAGATCATCCATCACTAGGTGCCATGGTTTAATTGACACAGCCTCCACAGTTAGTGGCTCCTATCAAGCTGTCGCTGCTAACACCCCAGGGAAGATAGAAAGCAATGCTGTTGTCACAGCATAGCATGTTTTTATTCGTAGTAATACGCTAATAACAAAAACAATAGTTTAAAAAGCTACAGACTCTGCTTTCTATATTACTTATTGCAGAGTCCATGCTACTACAGTGATATATTGAGATGCAGCAAGCTCACTCAACACTTTGGAGAGAGCATTTGCAACAGATGAAGTTGCAAAGCATTCTGGTGCAAAAGCATGTTAATTACACGTGCAGCGAAGTGTGCTCAGTCTGAGCCCATGTGACAAGGGCAATGGACAGCCAACAAAGCACAGCATGGCTAAAAAGCCACCCTGCCTTCACATTTTCACCAACTCTTGCATGAGGTAAACTAATGCAGAACCATAAATAGCACTTGGTAATAGCAAGCAAAACATTGCTAAATTAGGAATACATACATGAGCATTCTTTCATCCCTTGCATATTCAAAGAGAAATATATCACCCGTAAAATTTTCTGCTGTTTGACATAAGCCCACTAGTATAAAAAAGTGAACAACAAAAAAGCATTGTTGGGTTTGAAAACTTACTGCGATCTATCAATCCTTGTTCCAATATGAACAACAGGGACACCTGGGTCCTTTTTCTGACCTGAAACAAGAATAACGCAACAAATGTGTAATAGTAACATTTAAAGCAAAAGGAAAAATGGGCACCACAGGAAGATACAAAACCTAGAATCTAGACTCGAAAGGAAAAATGCAGCCATAACATCAAAGCACCAAAGTAAACGTCACCTCCAAATTATTTCACCCAAGATAATTTCAATCCCCTGTTAAAGGATTCTTTAATGTTCACTAACACGCACTGTACATGGGCCTTCACGATTTCAATGCTATGTAGTTCAGTCTCATCATAAAGGCAGTGGTGCCGCATTGAATCCCTCGACCAGCTTTCGGGATGTACTGGAATATCATGATAGTTGAAAGTTTTCTGTAGTTAAATGCCACGTTTTCCTTTCCATGGTACTTGTATATTATCAACCCATATAGTTGCCCATACAATGGATAACCTGAATCTGGCCCGTGCAATTCTGACAAAATATGCAAAAGAGAAACTGTTCGTCGACAATACTTTCTTCCTTTCCCTCTTTCCGACTAGCAATGCAACACACATGAACAAACACTTTGAATTTAAGCCTTAGAAAGATGCAGGGCATAGGGAAGACTCACAAGTTTGCCCACGTACACCATGCCCTGCCATTCCCCTGCCGGCGAAAGCCTAACCCGTAGGGTGTTACGACCCCTCCACTCCCTTTGGTTCCTGTGTATTTGCGAATTGCGCACTACACGTGAAACACGGCTCGTTCCGCGATGTCACCCCGACAAAGAGGAGGGAATTACTGCTGTGTCTAACACTCAACAATTCCCATGCAAGCACGAAGGGGTCAAATCTACTAGTGAAATTCTACCGATTCTCACAGATGGTACGGAAAAAGCAGATGGCAGGCATGGATTACAGCAGTGCACCAAAAAAAGAAGTGAAAATTTTGATAAATATGAGCACAAGCACGAAGCATTTAACATAAAGGGAGTTAATTCCTGCGTAGCCACTCCTCCAATCTGTCGAGACTAGAAAATACATGTACGCATCTTAAAAGCACAAATTACCATGATTTTTAACTTCAGTCTCTTGAACCCTGTTAAGCAATTTCGAAAAGGTTTATGCTACTATTATTATTCTGTACTGTTGGGGAGGTTGTACTTGGAAGTTTTGTACACAAGGGGATTTTGTGATGTGTGGTTACATATCGTATTTACTCGCATAATAAGTGCACTTTTTTTTTTTTTTTTAGAAAATCTGGCTCCAAGTTCGGGGTGCACCTATTACGCAGGGTAACATTTGCGAAAAATTTTATTTCTGACTACAGCATAGATTGTTGATAACCTACAAGTCCCGAATATCCACACTATAATAGAAAAAACCTTTTTCATAGGCTACACTAGTGCAAAACATCTTATCTTCAGCATGCAGTCTCGTGTATCCAAGAATCAAGACAAAACATTGTGTGTATTCAAATTTACAAAAATAAACATCCATACACCTGTATTGCGAACGAAATGAAAGCAAGAAAAATTAAGACTAGCAAGTGTTATCGCGAAAAATTCGCCGATTGCGTTTCAGGCGACCTAGATTAAGCATTATCACAGCTGAAATTTTATGCGCTGAAGGGCATGCAGATCATTCAATTTGCAAACCACTATCAAGAGTTACAAGCGTCACCCAAGCCCCGTTTCTCAGAGCATAGCCACTGAAAAGAGTTGCATCGATTCCACACACAAGCGCAACTTTGATTGCCCGCAACTGCCAAGGAAAAGCACAAACAGTGATTAGGTCTAGCCTGCCTGCGACTTGGCATGTTGTCGCGGGAAGTTTGCACCAAAAAGATAGCACTCAAGCACTCAGGCGACAAAGTCCACCGAGCTTGTGCAAGTCTGCGTAGTGGCAGCAAAGGCGTAAGCTCGCATAAAGCAAAAAAGCTTTTAAATTTCCGGACAAGGTAGGAAACACAATAAGGACAACACTTTTCCTAACAGCAAACTCAATGCGCACTTGACAAGGACACGATCACACATTTTATTCGGAGCGCGCACGACCGGGCTAGCGCACGGAGCCACGCGGGTGCAAAGGCTACTCCAACACTCAAGCAACCGTCCTTCACTCGGCGAGTCCGCGGAACTGGTGCAGCACCACTGCACTCTTCTCTCTTTTTCTTTGGTTCGGTTCATGTAAGAGGGTGCCGAATTGCAAGTGTGCAAACACGGTGCAGCACTGCGATGATATTCTTAAATGCAGACACGTTTACATCTTAACCACGCGTGACGCAAAACTCAAAAAACACATGCAGAACGCGTGCGAGCAAAGCAACGGATTTTCAAAGCACGTTGAAGGAAACACAAGAGGGGTCAACACTTGAGTAAGGAGTTTAACACCATTTGCCGGCAACGGCTGGCATTGTAGCACCCTCCACGGTGCGAGTCTCCCCTATTGCCTGAACAGTCACGCTTGCATTTACAATATCACAAACATGCTACATATGCTTCAAATAGTTCAACTGTTCACTTCAAGCAGTCACAGCTTTTCCCTCGTCAAAATCCGTTTCCTTTGAAGCCGTTTCAAAATCTGTTTCCTTTGTACCATAGGACATGATGAGGGCCATTTCTCCAAGATGAACAATGTAACAGAGCCTTTTAATGAAACAGTATACTTTTGAAATGATTGGTTTGCATACGAGCATTGGATGAACCAAGAAACTCGTCTTGCGATATATCTCAACATGATAGAATAAGTGTTCAAAGTGAAGCATCAAAATTGAAGAGTGATTACTGTTTTACTTGAATTTTCAGTAAACAATTATAATGAGACAGACCTGTTACTTTATGCTTACTTTATTTAACCCCGAGACTTGGGCACAATGAAGTGAATATTACACAAACAGCTCATATTTACCTGATTGGCCACATCCGTAAGGTACTGCACCAATATTGAAACCACGTGTTCTTTGACAACATTTTCCAGCAGTCCACCTTCACTGGCACAAAAACTGGCAATGTTTGGAAGCTGTTCGACCACTTCCGTCCGCACACTTGGTTCTGAAACGAGTTTCTCACTAATACAAAAACCTAGAAGACACACTTATGCATAAAAATTATGTTCACAATACAGTCGAACCCACTTACCATTTTTAACATATATGCAAATAACACCCCAAATAACTGCTCGAACTCAAAATTGTTGACATTAGCAATCGTTTCACACGCACTTGGGAAGTGTCTTGCACTTTGTCAAAAGTAACAGTTCCTGCACAAATGCATCAAGACTCATGCGTGGAAAATACACCCAAATTAGAGTCTCTTGGATTCAAAATAATGGCAGTATTTACTGCCACAAACATTTCTGCCAAACTGATGAAGTCCAAGCAGCGAGTACACTCCTGTGTCGCAGTCTAAAGTTAACGTAAAGAATCAACACAGACAGTTTGGCCGATATCCACTTTCAATGTATGCTGCATAGAGCAAATATTTTTTGCAGTTGTCAAGGTTTCACAAAGCAAAATATGCAAGAGTAAACAAGCTTACCACAGTCCATAGATATGGAAGAAAGGGCGGCCAACACTGCACTGACCGCATCTTGAGAATTTAGGCAAACACGTAAGGTGTCCACGATATTCCGAGCCACAAGCTGCCTGCATAGGAAACAGTAAGTAATGATAACATCAATGCCTGCAATGTTTTCATACAATGAATGGAGTTTACACTGCTTCATTACAAGCTCAACAATGTCTTCTTGCACTAATGCTTATCTTGCACTAGTATTATGCAATCCTCTGGATAAAAAAAAACTCAAACAAATCATGATGCCAAAATAAGTTTAACTGCATGTTTATTATTATTATGCTGTAGGAGCCATAATTATAAATGATAAACGCGCACACACACACACACACACACACGTGTGTGTGTGCGTGCGCACGTGTGTGCTTGCATGCACCGACAAATAGAAGCAATTGTCCCACACAAAAAAAAAATTGAGAAACCCAGGCAAGGGACTTTCTACCAGTTTGCAGTATACTATTTTAGAAGCCACAGCCCACTCGTCTAGATTTTGATGATCTCGACAGAATGCACTATTCAAACTTGGAGTCCATAGAGTTTTTAATTTAACTATATATAAGCACAGAAAATGGAGATTCAGAACTACTTTTCAATCTTAAAATACGGGGCACTTCAAAACAATGCCAAAAAGTTTCAGTTTCATTTTAAATTAGAGCCTGAAATTTACCATATGCATAATTTACATGAAAGGGTGCACTAAATTTCACGAGCCTAGAAATAATGCAATGTTAAAACACCCAATTATTTTAATATGTCTTCCACAATCAAGTCTAACTTGCTAATAGAAACAATCTTTGGCAAATATTTTGCCAAATATGAAAAAAACTTGAGAATGGTTAACAGTAAGTAGTGCCAAGCTCAAGAAGCAAAAAAAAAACGAGCTGGAGTATAACACTTTTGGCAGCTTTGACAAAAACAAACAAAAAACAGGCATTTAGGAATAAATTCCTAACAAAAATATTGCAATTTTCTTTTTAAATGTGACCTTTTTAACACTAAAGTGTTTTATGCTGGGGTTCACGAAGACTTCAATGATGTATTTTCGTCACGGCAATGACGAAAAAATACGCCCAATCAGCACACAAAGAAAAAGGTTCGGTCAATGGGAGGCGAACCCACAACCTTTAAGCCAGCGACAAGTGCCGGGTACACTATCCACTGTACCACGATCACACACTTTGTAGCCATTAAAAATGGCCTTAACACACCACCAGGTGGTGACCTTACTAAAAGCGTCGCCATAGTTTCTAGCATCCATCTATCTAGCATCCAACACGTCTGTTTCGCCTGGATTCAACACCTTCTCTACCTCACTCACCCCTAGAAAAATCGCGACCACCCACAAAGGTAGACAACCTTTAGGCCAGCGACAAGTGCCGGGTACACTATCCACTGTACCACGATCACACACTTTGTAGCCATTAAAAATGGCCTTAACACACCACCAGGTGGTGACCTTACTGAAAGCGTCGCCATAGTTTCTAGCATCCGTCTATCTAGCATCCAACACGTCTGTTTCGCCTGGATTCAACACCTTCTCTACCTCGCTCACCCGTAGAAAAATCGCGACCACCCACAAAGGTAGATAATGCATTTTAAGTTTTCCTCTGATCAGGCAATGGCATTAAGTAACATGCCGAGAGTAGGCGACCATGGACCTTAGTATACAATCAGTCGTGCAAAATGAATGAAAATCAGATTCCTTTGATGATTGTAGTCCGAACTGATAGCCAGTAAAATTGATTTTTTAAATATCAATGGCATTCATATTATCCTATGAAACTAACAGCTTCGGAACATCTCACAGCCCCACCGTGGCGGTCTAGTGGCTGAGGTACTCTGCTGCTGACCCCCAGGTCATAGGATCAAATACCGGCTGCGGCGGTTGCATTTTTGACGGAGGCAAACGTGCTGTAGGCAGTGTACTCAGATTTGGGTGGACGTTAAAGAACCCAAGCTTGTCGAAATTTCCAGTCCTCCACTATGGCGTCTTTCATAACCATACGGTGGGTTTGTTAAACCCCACAAATAAAATCATAACGTCTCAGAGATGTATTAGTATTTCAAGTATTTTCTCATTTGCACATATGAAATAAAACTTGGAAGCCACGACTTGCTTTGCAGCTTGAAGTTCAATGCTCAAGGCAGAATTTACGTTGGTAAATTTCTTTGATGTTTGCTCACAGTGCCCCAACACAAACAACACTGTGTGTTGGCCTGGCATGCTCATAGTTCCCGTGGTCTTTCTTACATTTTGTAGTCTCCAGGCGAAGAAGGGACAAATTCATTGGTCTCAAAATCTAATGGCAAATATTATCAAAATAATTTCCGCATAATTCTCTGAGCATTTTTAATTGCCTCAATTTAGTAAATTGGGAATCTCCAAGAAATGAATTATCTTCCAAGCTAAAAAACGAACAACTACGACTAACCATGCACTTTCCAAAAATAGAGTGGCAGTGCCCTCCACTTTCCTCCCAACTTTGCTCAATTTTACCAAAGTAAAGCAGGCAATTCGGCGTCAATAAAAGTGAGTGAGCCTCTAAAGCAAGATCGTGAGGAATAAGGCGTGGCACCTCTGAAGCCAGTACACAACAAGTTTTCATTACTTCCGCGCAGAATCGTATTTAGCTTCGCGAAGAGCAACGCCAGAGCAAGCACCAACACTAACGCTTGCCTCCGCCACTTGCCTACTACTACACTACGCGAATGCCGGTCACGTGACACTTTCCCCAGAATGAATCGCTGGGCGAGGAGCCACACGAAAGGAAGAAAGCAGGATGGGCAATACAGCGAGAGAGAGAAGGCGACCGGGCCAAGAGAAGGTCGACGACCTTCGACCGTCCTCCACACCAGCCACCAGCAGAGCACGAGGGGGAGCGCGGGGAGCCAAGGGCACTGAGGGGGCCACGTCCGTAGTTTACGCGCTCTCCTTCCGGCCTTTCCTTAGCACAAGTCGAGAGCGCTCCGGCGCGATGCCAGCGGACCGACAAAACGCCAACGTATCTCTCTCGCATAAACGCGCGACGACAAACCGCCCAAGAACTCGCCCATCAATGGGACGCTTAGGGCTCACTGTATCGAAAAAAAAAAAAAACGCGGACAATCAGAACAATGTATTAGACCGTAATCCGTGCTATCGAGTGTGAAACTGCGTTTTGCAAAAGCTTGCGATTTGAGCTAGGAACCACTTATATTTCACCAGACAGTGTGTACAAAGGTCCCGCTATTGCTGAAGTTGTGTTGGCAATACCAGGGTGGCTGCTTCCGACATAGTTTAACGGTGGAAGCTGACGGCGTGCCGGAGAAATGACCAACGGTAATGTGTCGGCATTAAGCCACATGTCATATTCTGAAAAGTTGTATTACAAGACAGCTGTCGTTGCGCGGATGCAAGCCACGGCTTTTTTTTTTTTGTTTACATTACGTAATAAAATCTGCGAACAAGAAGCGCGCGCGCGCGCGTGTGTGTGAGCGCGCGCAAGCACTAAACGTGAGGTTGCTGTTCATCATAAAGTTTTCGTAGGGCAAGCGTTGCACATGCACATCAGATTTTAGCGGAGTTCGCATGTACGAAAAAGCAAATATACTATAAAAAGAAAAAAAAACGCTCAATAAAAACTATCCCGTGCGATCCTGCCGACGTCGGTTTGCCGCGGTTATTTAGGACTGGACCAATCCAAATTAGAAAGAATGAGAATTGGCGGGCCCAAGACACTGGGTCCCCAAGCTGCGTTGCGTAGATTGCTCTTCCGTTCCGAGGATCAGCAGAGTTAGAGAATTGGGTCAAACGCAGGCTGCGTGGGGTTAAACGCACGGGGCGCCACACGTGGGGAAGTTAACATTATGCGAGACGCAAGCCATGATACTGGGTCGTCTTGCTCGCGAAGCCTTGGAAACCCACGCTAGTTTACGATTTTTGGGTCTTGGGTCAACACGAAGGCAAGAGCTCAAGATTGACTTGGGTTATGCGCATGCCCCCTAGTGGGTCGCAAACTTCTTGGGTCCCCAACTCTAAGAGCTGCACTAGCTAGAGCTTAGCACAAGTACATGGAATGTCTAAAACATGTTACAGGAAAACCTCCCCAAACGAAGCTGACTATAGGAGCATGCACAGGGAGCGCGTCTCTATATGCAAAGACTTTTCGCAAATACAGAACTTCGTGAGGCCCCACCCCAATATCCGAAGCGCGGCCGCCAATTCCTTTCGCGACTAAAAATGGACTGAAGACTCAGTGCCGCTGATGCACTCGGCAATGTTCTCCGAAAACCATCCGGCTAATGACGTCAGTGCGGAGTGCACACCTATCGGTTCAAGCTTATAGGCATCCCTTTTTCAGGCGCAAATGCTTAGGAGTGTGCAACCTCCCTAATGCGCTGAAAGATGCTTGTATATATTATTTATTATTACATGTATATACTATTTGGACATATATATATTTTCTACATGCACATATACTATAAAAAGGAATGGAAAACGCTCAATAGAAACAATCCCGTGTGATCCTGCCGACGTCGGTTTGTTGCGGTTATTTAAGACTGAACCAATCCAATATTAGAAAGAATGAGAATTGGCGGGCCCATTAATGTGTCAAAAAAAACACAGAAAAACGAGCCCTTAAGTAAATACTTCTTTCCCTTATTCATTATGAGGGTCTTGTGCTGGCAGACTTGGTGCCTTCAGGTTGTATACGAGGGACTATTGATCAGCTGCCAGCTCGTAATAAGTTCATGAGCTACGTGACGCCAAGCAGGCTTGTCACTAACGACTCCTATTTTCGGATCATCCGCGGGCCCCATCGTCCAAGGAAGGGCGCTTTTGTGTTGGGAGGACGACATCCGGCGACTATAACGACCCAGCGTGGCGCCGGCTCGTCTTCCCTGCACCTGTACCGAAAGGGCACCGGCGGTCTAAAAAGGAAAATTACCCCCAGATGGGACGGGAGCACGTGTGCGCCCCTGAAGAGGTTTGGACTACATCGGAATAGGCAGCTGACATACAGCCAGCAACAGGTGTGGTCGTCGGTGTCGCGAGTCTGGCGTAGGCGGCGAGCATGAAGTGACGCAACGT